TCCCTGAGCCTCATAATGGTAATTCTGAGTGAAGGAATTAATAGGCTATTTCTAGAGCAGTTTTAGTTTATACAAAATGAAGTAGGAAATATAAAGATAGCCATATACATAGAATTTTCTTTATCATTAATGTCTCAGTTACTGTGGTATATTTGTTATAAAACTGATGAGCCAATACTGATACATTATTATTGGCTGAAGTCCACAGGGTTCACTAGGGGCCCTCTTTGTACTATATATTCTACACATTTGGCCAAGAGTCTAATGACATGAGCCCATCATTGCAGAATCATATAGTTACACAGAGTAGTTTTCAGTGCCCTAAACATCTGTGCTCTTCTCTCCACTCTGAATTCCTGGCAACAACTAATCTCTTGACTGGCACTATAGGTTTACTTTTTCCAGAGCATCACAGCACTGATCTTACTCAGTATGTAGGCCTTTCAGGTTGATTCTTTCATTTGTTAATAGGCATCTAACTTCTCTCCATGTCTGTTTGTGGCAATATCAGCTTTTTTTGCTAAATAATATGCCATTATATGGATGCACCATGATTTAATCAGTAACAGCAGTTTTAAAAGGTCATTACTAAATCGCATTGGGTATTTCAGACCCAATCAGTGCAAACTTTGTTGTGGGATTTGTTTCTTCTGTGGGTCCCCTGGAGAGGAGAAGCAGTGAGACCCTGGGGTGCAGACTTGTACATACAGGCAGCCTATGATGACTTCCGCATAAAAAGCCTGAGGTTATAGAGCCAGAAGCAGTGATGTTTCATATAAGTTGCCATGTCTGAAAATACAATAGGCAGAAAAACTCAATAATGCTGTAGTAGTCTCAGATTTCATTCTCTTTTCCTTAGCAATTTTGTCTTTTATGATTGTAGTGACTACTTCTGCCACCCAATTATTTTGGGAAATGAAGACAGAACCAAAACACCAGAGTTTTCTTTTTATTTTTGTCTTTTTCATTTCCAGGGATCGAACTCACGACTGCCTGCTTGCAAGGCAGGCGCTTATGCTGCTGAGCTAAATCCCCAGCCCCCAACACTAGAGTTTTCATCCTCTTATTTTGTTAGTGGCAAGAAGTGATGCTGATGGGTTTTTTCCTCTCTTGATAATTGTAACTTGCCAGCAGTGGCCATGGCTGAAGTTTAGTTAGAGATGTTAGCAATACCCCAACTACCCCTAGCCTGGAAATAATGTCTAAAACTTTTCCTTTGATTTATTTATCAGTCTTCTGAGATTGGTGCTTATTGTAGAAAGGACTATGCAAGCTAACTTTCCTCTCCTTCAAACAAATGGAAGATAAAGGTGTCCATGCTGTGTTGCCAGGCCACAGATAACTGCTGGGTTGGACTCATCCAACATAGGTGAGGCAAACCAAGTCCAGTGAGACGGACAGCTGGTCATACATCACCTTCCTCCCAGTTTTGGACAGTTTTTGCACTTCCACACAGCGTGAAAGTGTTGGGGAAGTTAAAAGTACAAGGCCTGAATGATTTGGGGATGAATATGCAATGTAGGTACCACTGTTGTCCTCTGTCTGATGTGTTTTGAAATTTTGTTGTAGTTTTTTTCTTTTCTTTTTTTATCCTTAAAATAAAATGGATTTTTAAAAAAAGAAACAAAAGCACAAGGCCAAACTAAGCTGCTGTCAGAGTTAGTCCTTTTCACCAATCCACCTTGCTCCTGGCCTGCTCTAATGTGGGCCTCTCTAAGTGGAGCTGCCTGTACTGCTGCCTGAGGTTATAGAGCCAGAAACAGAAGAATATCATGGCTAGCTCCAGTCTCAGAGAATTATACACCAGGGGTAATCATAATTGTCCCCAGTTTTCCCCTTTGGACTTCCACACTCCAAAAGCATATAGGCAACAAGGTTTCCTTAAGAAAGTGAATCTGTTTTGTCAGGAATAATTTCGTTTTAATCCAAGAAGCACACTAGACCAATAATCCACTAAAACACTCGAAAGAGGCTCCTTTGGCTTTTGCTTTAACGTACCCATTCCAAACATTAGTTCATTTACTTTCCAGACCTTTCATTCTCTAGTAAGTCTAATTAATGTGCAAATTCCCAAACAGCTTCCAAAACAGGTACCAACAGAATGACCCAAATGGAAGCCATCTACACAAGTGAAACAAGTGAAGCCAAAGGAATCATTTGTGTGGCTTAAATCATGGAGACAGGTGATACCAATGCGGCTGAATTCACAACTGCAGACATTAAGAATTTAATCTAGTTCTTTCTTAACCCAGGTTAAGGTGGTTCCAATCTTTTCACTTCAAGAACCCCTATCCCTAGTCCACACACACAAAGATGGCAAAGCCACTACTGCTGTCCCCCGACTTTTTGGTGTTCTCCACTGGCATGCAGTCCACTGGTATAATTAGAAGGATGGCAAGGATAATTAAGTTCTCTGTATCTTTATGAGTAATGAGTCAGTAACTCTTATTTCACTCCACATCCTCCTAGAGAAAAAAATCTAGAGAGAAAGTGACTGTCTGTTAGCAACTAGACAAAGCTGGCTTAACAATGGTCAAGAAGAGAACAAGTGATGAAAATGAACCCACTAAACCATAATCAGAATTTGACCAGGAGGAATTTTTCCCAGCTTTTCCCAAATTATTTCTTATTCCTCTCACTCACTGCAGGTAGGGGATCAGAGAACTGGCTTCTCAGTTTTACAGTTAGCTTCTGGACGTGAGGTTAATGTAGACGAGACCTAGAATTCACCAGATTTGAGCCTTCAGAACTGACAGGGAACTCAAATAATCCACTGCTTGAATATGAATAGACCATGCCTTCCAGACTGCACAAGTAGAATTAACCTAGAAGTAAATAGGGAAACTATGAGAAAAGCTCAGTAACGTATACCAGGGCCTCAGCTCTGCTAACAGGTCATATCAAAGGGATTAGAAACCAAATTTTCAGTTTTTTCACACTGATCTCCCTCCACAGTACCACAACTGGTATTAAAGGATATTATCTCAAGTAACATCCTTGGTATTTACCTTGGTAAATTAAAGTAAATATAACCAAAGTAATTATCAAAATATAGCCAAAGCTTAAAAATATTACCAAATGTAACTCGAGTCTTTATAGAAGTGACTTCTTACTATTTATATTACTTATGATCAAAGATAAGAGCTTTGATATGAAATTCTTTACCAATTGGAAAGCTTCAAATAATGAACCTTTTTTCCTATTACAAATCTATTTCACAAATCTAGAAATCAAAAGTCACAACTAGAGTTCCAACTTCACATGCACAAGACCTTGGGACAAGCTCTCTATTCTGTTAGGTTATCCATTCAAAGTTTACATATTTTACATATATGATTACAGCTCGGCCAGTTCTTAATTAGAACCCAGGGAAGTTGAAGAATGATTTTATTAATCTGTAAAATTTCAGTGCCACTGCTAGAAATAGCAAACAGCTTATTTTATAAACTCAAGTAGTATTTTAAACTTCATTTCTCATGTGTATAAGAAGCTCTTTTAGTCTGAGATCATTCATTTGAATTAAGCCAAAATTATATTTTTCTATCATAAAATTTTCTAGAAATATACTCACAGAGAAAAATATCATTCGTAACATGTACTAAAATTGATATTTAACAACCCCAACATAAACATTAGATGTGATTCTGCTCTTCTAAATGATCGATCTTGAAATATTCAATCCCCTCCAAAATCCACACGAGACACTCAAGAGAATTAATCCTCAGGATTTTAAAGCATACTGAAAATACCACATAGACAGAAGCAGGGGTAACTCTGAATCTAGAGAAGCTGAGCATCCAAAGTCTCTCCTCCCAGAGCTCTGTGTGGCAGCATTTTGTAGGAAGACCTATTCTCAGCAAGAGAGGGAAATGGCTTCTCAGCAAGAGAGGGAAGTGGCCAGCTGCTCATCAGAGGTGGGGGCTGGGGCTGGTGCTGGCCTGAAGGCAGAGTGGTACCATTACACCACCATCAAGTCACAGCCACTGCGCAGGTCTTCAGATCTCAGCAGAACAAACCTAGGTGTCTCAAGATTGACTCCATAGCTCTTCAGTCCTATGAGTACTTCTTCCCTAAACTCAGCCAACAGATGGCCACCTAGCATACCTGCCCAGTTCATCCTTGGAACCCTCCAGAATCTGAGGAAATGAAGATTCATTTCTGAGGGAAGGTTGAGCACTTATCAATGAACTTCCTTATCTTAATCCATCTGGAGTATAAGCCAGAAGTAGAAGAAAGGAAGGATAATTTCCATTAAACACAAACTAAATAAGAATCTGAAATTTTTTTTGCAGTAACTTGGCATTCTTGCTTTCTCAAAGGAAACATTGACGGTCCCAAGCAACCATTCAGACAATTACTCTTTGAACATGTCCTAATTCCAACATATTCACAGAGTATTTATCTTATTCCTTTCATTATCTGCAAGACTAACAATCCAAAGTAGTCAAAAGAAAAAAAAAAAAACTTTTAACCGCAAGGAGCTACCTGAACATCCCAGTAGATGGTTACCTCCAAAACTCATTTTAGCAAAGAAATAATTCATGCCAACATTTACAAAAAAAGAAAAAAGAGGTAACATGGAATCTGTTACTGTAAATTTATTGCCTATGAAACAGCCAAAAGTCAACAGCAGGCAAAAGAAAAGTCCCCCTAATTAGGATAAGCAATAGGTAGACATTTAACAATTGAATACCAAAAGGAACATCCACCAGTACAGTGGCCATGCATGGCTGCTTCTGCAGCCTCACCTCCCCTGAGCAGAAGCTGGTGTGCATGAAGAGTAAGAGCAAACCTTCAACCTCTTCCACACCCATTCACTGGCATGCAGGGCCTCCAAGCCTCCAAAGGGCAGGAAGAGCAGGCAAGGACATCTCTCAAGCATGCACCATCAAGACATCAGTCATGCTAGTGCCCACCCATTCAATTACTCTTCTGTTGACCACCCATGTTTAATTTAGCATTAAAGACATGACAACAAGGTCTGAGATTTGAGGATGTACCTGACTCTCTCTCCCCTCCAGTGGTGGTGGAATCTGATCAGCAAAACCAATCTTCCCTGGATCACCCATAAAGGCACTAACCTCGTCCACGTTCTCAAAAGCGTTGATGACATCATATGGCAAACAGGACAGAAGGTCAATCACAAACCATGTCTTCAAGTAGTTCATGCGGATAAGTTTGGGATCAGAAATCACCTCCCCCGCTGGTCCAACAAAGGTTGTATGAAAATTCAGCACAATGTCCACCAAAAAGATGACATCCACGATGCTATCCACAACCAGCCAGGCCACATTGTTCTGCCTGGTTTTAAAGGAGACATTGTAAGGAACCAAGATGGCTGTGTAGAAAGTCAAGATCAAGATGATCCAATCCCACGTGGTCTTAAAAACACAATAGTGTAAGATGATGTGAGGGGGAGTCTTTGGTGCCTCTTGCTTGTACTGGGGAAGGATGTCTGAGCCCAGCTGCAGGACCTGTACAGAAAAACATGGCCAAGAGAAAACTAAGTTAGAATTTAATTGCAAGCATCTACCAAGTCAGTATCTGTACTGGTGATTGCTCATAATGTGAATGGATCCTTAGCTACAACACGAGTTGGAGGAGGATGGGCCAATATGAGTGAACACCGTAACAGAAATAATCATACTGAAACAATGACAAGTTAATATGTAACAAAATGTGAGCCAAACAGTGAACTAAATATCCCACGAGTTTATCTTGCTTAAGTCTAAGTAGAGCCTTTTTGTTAAAGCCAGCTACCATACATAAGTGAGAAGCTGAGACTCACAGAGAATTAAGCTACTTTAATCAACAAATATTTACTGCTCTGTGCCAAGAACTGCTCAAGGCACTGCTTAGAGGGCAATAAAGGAAGCATCACAATGCCTGCTCATGGAGCATGGTCTGATAGACAAGGATCATTTCAAATTGCATTAGGAGCTAAGTCAGAGGCCACGAATGAGGAAAACATTAAGCAACTTGATAAAATGTAACTGGGAGTGAAGGATGGGAGAGTACTTGATTGAGCTGAATAACAATAAAGAAATAGCCTTTCAAATCTATATGGAAAAGTTATCCCAGGAAGAGAGGATTACTGGTACAATGTCCCCAGGACAGAGTAAGTTTAATATTTTCAGGATGAGAAAGAAGGCAGTGTGGATGGAGTGTTCTGAGGGGACTGGAAGAGACACTAGAGCAGCTCATAAAGGAGAGCAGAAACCAGACCATTCAGCCTTCCCAGGCATGAGGAGGTGGCGAATTTTATTCTCCATACAGCTCAGCATAACTGGAGGGTCCGAGGCAAGGCAATAATAATCTGATGCGTGTTTTACAAAAGATCATCCTGTTTACTGTATAGAAAATGAATTGGGACAAAAAAAATCAAGTAAAAAATAGGATTAGGATACCTATCATAGCCTCAGAGAAAAATCAGTCATTAGAGAAAAACAGTCTGCTTTTGGATATGTTTTTGAAGCAAAGCCAGTTAGACTCTCTACTGGCTAGAAAGAAAAGCAAAGAAAACAGTGATCAGAGCCAGGGGTGCTGGCACACTCCTGAAATCCCAGCACTTGGGAGACTGAGCTAGCAGCATCATTGCAAGTTTGAGACCAGCCTGGGCTACAGAGTGAGCTAAGGCCTGCCTGAACCACATAGCCAGATCCTGTTTCAAAAAGATTTAAAAAAAAAAAAGTACTGACCACCGCAGGCTGTGAGTTCAGCATGGTGGCTGACTCAGAGCAGGCTGCACAGGACTGTTCTGAAGTGAATGAATAAACTCTAAGGACTCAAAGCTAGCAAGACATGGAGCCAGGACCTGAAAATTAGCTGGATTTGAAACCTGTTGTTCTATCTGTTATAGCTCCCTGAGTAATTAGACTTCTAAGAAAGCAGACCCAGTACAAGAAGGAGTCCAAAAGAAGGCTGGCTCCTGACAGGCCCAATGGCATATGTCTATAATCCCAGCATTCTGGGAGACAGAGTCAGAATAATTGCAAGCACAACCCAGTCTGGACACTTTGCAACCTAGTGAGACTCTGTCTCAAAGTAAATTATGGCTGAGAATGCAGCTCAGTGTGAAGACCCTGGGCCCCAATCCCTAGTGCTGCCAAAAAAAAAAAAAAAAAAAAAAAAAAAAAAAAAAGGAGGGAGAGGGAGGAGAAAAAGGAGGAGGAAGAAAAGAAGAGGGGCCCCAAAAAAGTATCACGGATGGCTTTCATCGTCGACAAAGGAAAAAGGACTATATCTTCTAATAACAAGCTGAGCTGGAAAAGACTCGCTAGGAGCTCCATTTGTGCCACTAACAAGTTCTTACAGCTCTCAGGGTGTAATTCCCTCTTATGTCATAGGAGCTTCTTTTTACCTCTATAGGTTGATGACCCTCTAGCCAACATGAATATACCACTTCCATTATGGTTGCCCCAACCCTTAGAAAAAGAAAGCTAGAAATGCACAGGGTCCAGTGTGCAGCTAGGGGAGAGGGATTTTCATTTCTCTCCCCCATGAAAAGGAATTTAAACAAGTATAATTAGGGATGCTTAGGCTCTAAAACTTTAGGCAGAAAAGAAGACTGGCCTATAAAATAATACAAAAAAATTCCTGATGGAATCTCTGATTCAGAAAAGAAAGAGTGTGTATATACAACTAAAAGCCCTGGAAATGATCTATAAAACAAATATAAAAGACTCTAAGAGGAAAAAAAAAAAGCAAATTGGCTAGGAATTACACAGCAGTGGGTTAGACCCCCGGTTGTTCCTTTTGCCTCCTGAGTTCTCAGACTTAAAACTGAAAAAGCAATTATGGACAACCTAAAAAAAGAGAAAGCCTCAGCCAACAAGAAGTCATAAGTAAAAACCAAATTTTAGAACCAAAAACACAGTAACAAATATTTTAAAATTCAACGAGTATGCTCAATAGCAGAATGGATGAGATGCAGGTAAAACAGTAAACTTGAAGATAAAACACGATTGAAATTATTCTACAGCTGTTGTTCTATAATAAACATGATTTTGCAACAGAGACAGAAAAGCACATTACATAATGATAAAAGATCCATCTATCTACCAAGACCATTCATATACCCAAAAGAGAATGATAAATGTGAAGCAGAGACTGATAGACCTGAAATACAACTGACAGAACAACTAGATAGAAAATTAGCAAGAATCAGTACCATGAACTGGTAAGATTTGACTGACATTTATAGAAGTCTCCCCAACAGGATCAAAATACACATTTTCCTCAGGGCATATGAACATTATTCAAGATAGACCCCATGATAGTCCACAGAATGAACCTCAACAAGTTTAACAGAATTAATATCACAGGAATGCACTCACCAACTACAATGAAATTAAGCTTGAAGTCAATCTCAGAAAGATAACATGAAAATGTCAAAAGACCTGAAAACTGAAGGACAAACTTTTTAATAATCCATGAGCCAAAGACAAAGTACCAAGAGAAATTTTAAAATATACTGAACTCAAGGAAAATGAAAATTCACCACATCAAAATTTGTGGAATACAGTTAAAGCAATGCTGATGGAGAATTGTATAACACTAAATATTTACCTGATAAAAAGAGAAAAAGCTTTAAATCAATAGTTTAACAGGTCATTGCAAGACTCTCCAAAAAGAAAAGCAAAATAAAACCAAAGCAGTAAAAAGGAAATAATGAAGAGCAAAAATCAATTAAATTGAAAGTTAAAAAAAACCCAGAAAATCAATAATCACTGAAAAGATTCATAAAATAAAACTAAAACAATACTAGGCTGGGAGTACAGCTTAGTGGTAAAGCACACGCTTAGCATGCAGGAGACTCTGGGTTCAATGTTCAGACCAAAAAATAAATAAAATATAAAATACAAATAACATCAACAATCCTATAGTAACACTAGAAAAACAAAAAGAGAAAAGTATAAATGCCAAAATCAAGAATGGAACTGAGGATATCACTATAAACCCTGGAGACAACAAAATGGTAAAAAGCGTCTGCTACAAACAACTCTACACACATAAATTTAACTACTTAGACAAAACAGACCTCAGAAAAAACCAAACTACCACAACCCACAGCTATATAACGATTAAGAGAATCAATATCATAATTTTAAAATTTACAAAAAAAAGAAATTCCAGATGATATTAATGGATAATGGTTCCACAATTTAAAGAATAACTAACACTAATTCAATATCATCTCTTCCAGAAAATGGAATCAAAAGGAACTCCTCTCACAACCCATTTTGTGAAACTAATACTACTTTGATTCCAAGGCCAAACACAATATTAAAAAAAAAACTACACACATCATTCAGAAATATCAATGCAAAAATTCTTAACAAATAGCAGCAAACAGAACTTAGCAATATTTATAAAAAATGACAAGATAGTATGTTCCAAGAAAGCAAAGCTAGTTCAGTATTTGAAAGTCAAATCAATCAAGGTAATCCATCATATTAACAAGCCAAAGAATTGTCACATGAGTATACCAACAGATACAGAAAACACATTTGACACAGTTTGTTCATGAATTATTTTTTAAAAACTTTTGAGAAAATGTAGGAATAGTGGAAACATTCTAAACTTAGCAAAGACTATTTACCAAAAACCCTTTAGCATACATTATACCTAAAAATGAAACACTGCCAGGAAATCATTAAGATTATATATCATGACCATGTGGGCTTTATCCCAGGAATGCAGGGACAGATTAACATATGCAAATCAATAAATGTAATACACTCCCATCAACAGAACCAAAGGAAAAAAGTCATATAATCATCTCAATAGATGCAGAAAAAGCTTTTGATAAAGTCCAATACTCATTCATGACAAAAATCCTACAAATACCCAGATAGATGGTATCTGATAAAAGCCATCCATGACAAACCAACAGCCAACATTATAATAAATGGGCAACAACTGAAAACTTTCACTCTAAAATCAGGAACAAGACAAGAATGTCCACTATCACCACTCCTATTCATTATACTTCTGGAAACATTAGCCAGAGCAGTTAAACAAGAGAGAGAAATAAAAGGAACAAGGACAGGAAAGGAAGAATTTAAATTACCACTATTTGCTGATGACATGATATTCTACATAGAAGACCTCAAAAGTCCATCAAAAGATTACTAGAGTTTCAGCAGTGTAGCTGGAACAAAGTCAACACTCAAAAATCAGTAGCATTCATGTATAAAAACAACAAACTGACTGAGAGAGAAATTATAGAAATGATACCTTTCACAACAGCATCCAAAAAATGAAATACTTAGGAATCAACCTAACAAAAGATGTAAAAGACGTATATGTTGAAAATTACAATACTCTAAAAAAAAAAGGAGATTAAAGAGGATGTCAGAAAGTGGAAAGATATCCCTTGATCTTGATTAGGAAGAACCAATATCATGAAAATGGCCATACTTTCAAAACTGTTATACACATTTAATGCAATTCTGATCAAAATACTATTAAT